CCCTCCCCGCCCTCACCCCCGAGTCCATGTTTTAAAGGACGCTGGGAACTCACCTCCTCAATATTAGACTCCTAAAACGAAATTCAGGGTGGTCAATGGATTTTCCCAAGCTCCAGATGATCTTATACTGATATAATCCTTTGGCATATGATGAGTTCTTGCCCATGGTACATTTTTAGAGTCGGCGATTACAAGTACATCGAAGGATTCCCTGGCCCGTTCAGTGGCTGGGCCGTACCACCTAAGTTTCAACAGTCCAAAAAGTATTGGATGATGACAGAGACAGCCTTGATGCCTTCCACAAATACATGCAGAAATCAAAAACTTTACCAGGATATTTGGGGCATGCACTGTATAATATAAGGGGTATGTTTTAAAAATAAATTACTAAATATTTCTCTAATTGCTTGTCGGGGCTGTTCCTTCCAGTTAAACGCTTAAGGGTATACTTTACGCGTTTGATTTTTAAGGCCATTTATTCTGTGTGCAGACCTTAAAATAAAATCCCCCAAATTAAAATGACTGACGTCGACAGTTTCTTTTGAAATGTATAGAAAAACTGGCCAGTCATTTAGAACTAAATCACCGAATAAAAAATGGAATAAAAAATCGAATCTAAGTGCAGTGACGGGTTGAACAATGATAAGTGAGCAGGAGAATTTTTTCTCACAAGTAAAATTTGTTTTGGCGGGTGAATCCCGTACAGAACACCTTTATTAAGTGTTACGCAGATTACGTAGATCGTTTTGTTGCATCATTGTATTTTTCTGAATTTCTTTTTCCCCGGTAGATGATCCTACGGAGCACAAAAATTTGGTCCAAACCATGCCCCAAGTTGTGCGAGAGATGAAGATGAAGTTGAAATTGGCACAGCAAGAGATGGTGCCCGCGAATGCCCCACCGGGGGATATCAAAGGAAACCCGAACAATTTTGGGGGAGTTTGGACACCGGGATGGTGCTGATAATGTTGATGTGCTACATGTACAACTATGGAATAGCATCTGTTTAAAATTAATTGACATGATGAAAAATACTTACAAAAAAATTTAAAAAACTTTTTTGTCATTTGATTACATTTGTTTGTTTTAATGTTGGCTATTCTTTCTTCGGACTGAGGAAGTAGCCATGGTGCTAAAGGTTTCATTTAGCCATTTATTTCATGCTATTTCATTTCAATATGATTTACGATTAAAGTGATTTCTATGAAGTTACGATTTACTGGTTGTTATTCCCATTTCTATGCTTCGAAAACATCGTATCTCTTATTAGTAAAAGCAAATTAATGTGTATATTACAATGGGTAAGTAAGGATAAATACAAGAAACATACCAGAGGCAAGCTGAGTGATGACGTTAATTCTATGCAAAAATATACGCTCGAAAAGCGCACATAATTGCCCGAGCACCATCTTTGAATAACTCGAAACAAATTCTGTTGCCCTGGAGAAGGGTTCAAGAAAGTACGACACTGCAAGATATCTTCTTCCATAAACTGAATATAAACCTAGCATTTTGGAATGATGTGATACTATGAAGAATTCATGTTCTGAAATATTGGCAAACACATTTTCACTCTCTAATTATATCGTATTTAGTGACCTACACATATATGAAATAATAATGCGCTTAACATAATAAAAAAATCAAGTCAAGCACTTTTCTCGAAAAGAGAATAATAATAATTGGTTATCCACTGTAGTAGAATCAATGAAGTCATGATTACACTGACAGTAATTTAATGGCCACATATAAGCTCTGATTTATATTGACCTACGTTTAAACAAAACATACGTTGAGAAAAAGAGAACCCTCGCCCAAGGAGAGAGAGTCCAGAGTGCGATGTTGGACTTCACTTACCATATCCTACTATGTAAATATAGCATGGGTATATGCAGAATTGTTATCATTTACAATTTAAAAAGGTTTACCTTTCCCGATGTGAAGTGACGAAATAATTTCAATGAGATTACCGTCCTACGCTTCCTCTTGTTTCCAACGCACTGGTTCAATGTATAATCCAGATTTTCTGGATTCTACTCAATTCTAGGAGAAGGCGTGTTAATCTGTTTATCTGACTGCATTTAGCGAGAGCAGAGTTGGATCGATCTACGTAGAATGATAGTTTCATTTGGAATGTGCCCCTAAAACCGCCCGGCTTCTGTACGTGTGGCGCGGTCTTTTTGAGATTAAGAGACTAAAATAATATTGTTTTATTAATATTAATATTGTCACCATAAGGCGTCATGTTTATCAATGACAGCAATTTTTAATAAAATAATAATAATAATAATAACATATAAACTACTAATTAGATAAATAATAATCACTGATTTTATTTTTTAACCAAGCACGTACATGGTGAATCAATACTTGGCCAGTTTTCTGGTGTGCATCGTCATGTACAATTTTTACGTTTATCCTTCATATCATTTATCCAGTCCATTGAGTAACCAAAGTAGGCAGTTTTGTGTCGTCATCATTTATTGAACAGTGAAATAAAAAGTGCACTTGCTCCGTTGGCCCATCATCACAGAACGGCTTTTCTTCTCTTTCTCTCTCTCTCTCTCTGTCTGCGTGTGTGTTTTTATATAACCGTTGCAGTATATATACAGTGTATGTGCTGTTACTTCACGGAGAGGGTTCATACCAGTGATACAGGAGGGAATTATCCCTATTCATTCATAAAAAATAGCATACCCTATACTTGTAGATGTCTTATAAGTTATATAGTGTATACCCAGCGAGCAAATTGTGTTGTTTTAACGTTGAAACAATGTTGAACCATAACGTTGATAATACGTTGGATAAACATTGGATTTGAAAGTTGACTCAAAGTTAGATAACAACATTGTATCAACCCCAGTTGTCAGACAACATTCTTGCATGAAAAGACATTAAAATGACCTGAAATGTTTTTATTTTTGGTACAAAACACAGGTACACAATTATAACGTACACTGTAAAAACATCCAAGTGCCTGCATTGTCTGATTTTTTCAATGCATTTAGGTCCCAAGCATGTTTTGCACCTAACCATGGTACAGGTCCCTTTAAGCCTGGATGTGATTAACAGTGGGACATGTTTGATGGCTAAATATATGTTGGGTATATATATGGCCTTTAAGTTAAAATTTCCAAGGTTTAGATTAATATATATAGTTATTTTCTTATATATCAACCTGTGTATCTATAACAGGGTAGCTGAACGCGGTTAACAGGTGGTATGACGTGGTGTTATACCTGAAGCTACTGAATGATTTCAAGTTCGATCGGCTTCATTGCTATTTCGTTGGGAACGTTCCAAGTTACATGAGTTCAAA